TCACAATTTGTCGACATTTCGATAGGAAAATGGCGCGCAACCAATGGAAACTAGGGTAATTGATTGTACTGATATGGGCAATTTCTAGGTTATAGCCCAGATAGCAAATCTAGACGGCATTTGTGGCGATGGTCGCGTTCGCCGTGTCAGTCGTCATAGCCATAGTAATCACAGTCATGGCGGCACGCCGTCGACTTGCCATGTCGCCGGAGCTGTTCGCCGCTTCCGACGTCGCGATGCGTTCCGTCGCGCTGCAGCCCATCGCGCTGCATTCCCTCGCGCTGCGTTTTATGACGCTGACAGGGGTCGCGAGGGATTTCGTCGTGCAAGAGCCTTGCGAAATCTCTCTTTTCCTTCGGAAGGGTAAAAAGCCGTATCGTCACCCGATTCGCGTGAGCGATCCTGCGGTAATGCGCGCATCGGTTACAAACACGCGCCTCGGTTTGAGATGATAGGACCAACTCCGACATGTGATTGCGACTCAGGCTCGATGACGTCAGGGCCACCATCGCGATCCTTATACCATTAGCCGCGATTTCCTGCCGCACCCCCTCATATCCTCCCATCCCCTCCCCCCCCCCTCCGGATGCATCCCCACTGTCCCCATGCCCGTGCCCCGCCCTCTCCCCGCCGTCTGTCTGTGGGCAGCAATGTGGCATCGTTGGATTCGGAAAGCTTCACCCCCCGCCGTCTGGCTCATATGCCTTCCAGCTTTCTCTTGAAATTTGTGGGAAAAATATAACAGATCGCGGTTCCTGTGATCGTAGGCATGCCAAGTGGCGATAATAAAACGAAGTGCGATTCCGCGGGATTGAGCAAAACTCTCGAGTGAGGCGTTAGATGCGATGCTGGTGGTTGACCATGTTTGTTTGAACTGCAGCACATATTTGTTTCACCCCGGTTATTTTCCGTGGCCCGTTTTGTACTCTGCTCGGCGTACGGAGGCACGCACTTTTTGCTTGGTTGAGGAACCCTGGAAAAGCACCTGGGAACGTTCGTCGGTAAGTGGTTGTGCCTCCAGACCAGAGGCCTTTTGTCTCCCATGATCTGGGGTTTGAAGGCCCGGCTCGTACTTCGCAGGGAATTGATCAGACTGGGGCCCCGGGTTAGCAGAAACAGTGCCAACTTGGGGCCTCGTGAGTCGCGACCCTACGAAATAGGCCCGAAGCAAATCACAAGACTGGGCAGCAGGTCCGAACCTGGCAAACTCGCCAGGTCACCACCTACTGCCTTGGGTTTGACGGAAATCGCTAGCACCCCACACCGCTGGAAGCACAACAATCCGTCAAACCAACACAGTCTGATCGAGATACAGCACAAGCAGCATGTAACAAACAACTCGGAATTATTACGGAAACATAAGACTGCCAGAACACAAAGAGCTGAAACATGAAAATTAATAAAATGAGTGGGCACAAAATGGGGAGGTTCATGACCTTTTTCTGTTAGAGAAATTTCAACCAACCTACCCACATTCTTTCAGAATATGTATACATACATATATGATTTACATGCAAGTGCTTCCCTTGTAAAATCTTCGATGAAAAATCTTCTACCGTATTCCCCCGGATATACCACCCTAGGGTGCTATGATAACTACACAAAAAAAAGGGGGGGTCTTGTCATCGGAAAAAGCTTCATTGCACCCGGGTCTTTACATAATGTGTATTTTTTTTATAGCGTAAAACGATTTAGTACAGATGTAAAACAAAAATACAGATGTACATTTAGTACTAATCGTTTTACGCTATAAAAAAAATACACATTATGTAAAGACCCGGGTGCAATGAAGCTTTTTCCGATGACAAGACCCCCCCTTTTTTTTGTGTAGTTATCATAGCACCCTAGGGTGGTATATCCGGGGGAATACGGTAGAAGATTTTTCATCGAAGATTTTACAAGGGAAGCACTTGCATGTAAATCATATATGTATGTATACATATTCTGAAAGAATGTGGGTAGGTTGGTTGAAATTTCTCTAACAGAAAAAGGTCATGAACCTCCCCATTTTGTGCCCACTCATTTTATTAATTTTCATGTTTCAGCTCTTTGTGTTCTGGCAGTCTTATGTTTCCGTAATAATTCCGAGTTGTTTGTTACATGCTGCTTGTGCTGTATCTCGATCAGACTGTGTTGGTTTGACGGATTGTTGTGCTTCCAGCGGTGTGGGGTGCTAGCGATTTCCGTCAAACCCAAGGCAGTAGGTGGTGACCTGGCGAGTTTGCCAGGTTCGGACCTGCTGCCCAGTCTTGTGATTTGCTTCGGGCCTATTTCGTAGGGTCGCGACTCACGAGGCCCCAAGTTGGCACTGTTTCTGCTAACCCGGGGCCCCAGTCTGATCAATTCCCTACTTCGCATGAGCTGTGCTGTCAGTGTCAACCTGTGCGCTATCACTACATACACAGTGCGAGAAAACAGCTGTGCCATGGTGAGGCTCCACCCCACACCTGTCCACCAGCAATAGTCCAATCTCGCGGCGCGCGAAGAAACATTAATGGGGTTGGAACCCCAACTTTCGTGCGAAACAAACTCGATCGACATTGACTCACCACCCCTTTGTCGTGGGGATTTCGCCCGCTAAATCAAGCCAGAACCCAAACCAACCCAGCCAGGAAACTCGTCGCAATTGGTGTGCAGGGGTTCGTTGTACGGTAGGCGAAAAAATCTTGGTACAACGATGTGTCGCCAACTATTGTCACCCGCCACGTACTGCTGGCGACCTGCGCCAGTTTCCAAGTTACTGCACTCTGACGCAGCGCTTTCGGCACCCTGCGCTCCCCCTTTCCATGTCCTGCCTTGTGTCCCCGCCTGCGCCCTTTCTGCCATATGCTTCGGGTTTGTCAGACGTCTCCCGCCATTTTGTCAGGGGATTTCGCAGCAGTGCACTTGAGCTGAAGCTGAACACACTCCTGCTAGGGCGTGTAGCTTCTTTGCTCGTTTTCTCGGGACTCTGTAAACTTTTTCAACCGAGCCAAATCATTGCCCATCTCATCATATCCCTTGCTGTCCCATCCACCCTACCCCAGCGTCTGTCCTTCCTTCGTCATCATTTCCTCCCCCTCCATTCTGTCGCTCTCCCTTACTGCTCAGTTCCCACGCGGGCTTTCCACAGCGTGTCGACTTCTGCTAACCTGCACGATCCGGGCTTCTCTGAAAAAGACCCTGCAAATTTCGAGCCCGTGGAAAAAAGAACCTAAGACTCAGCGCTTCCGCGTCGTCATTCCGAGAGGTGGGAGATCGGGTGGAAGTGATTTCTGTTGTAAAAAAGCCAATGTTGGCAGAAGCATTATCGTGAAGACCGAATTTGTACTAGCTTCTGACACCAAGGTGCACATGGTTTTGCGTTTAATGTTGGAAGCGGACGGAGGCGGATGAGGGACGGAGGTGGGAGGGGTCAACTATTCTCGTGGACTTGGATAGGTTCCTCTATGTAGAGAGACCAGCTACGAAGCCCCATTTCCATGTACGAACGGGTCAACGGGACAGGGGGGTACGAGGGTTACGAGGCCCGATTTTTTTTCGCAATTACCGCTAAGGAGGTGACGAGAATAGAGGGAACGCTTAGAGAAGGATCGCGGAAAGCATATCCTATGAGGATAGAGGGAAGCCCGATTTTTTTTTTTTTTTGGGGTTAAATTTAAATAATGATTTTCGTGTCCCGGCATTCCGATAAAGGTCCGGACCCGGATGAGAATTACTTCCGGGGTGGGAAATAAATACCTTGTGAAAATCAGGGCCTGCTTGTCATTACGTGTCATTCTCAGTGAAGACAGGGAGATCGCCCGGTTAAATTGGGCCCGCAACCGTCCCCGGAGATTTTGCTGTTGATTTTCACGATCGTGATAACCGTCGCGACAGTGACGACCGTCACCGGCAAAAAACGTCTCTAGCGCATTAGGTCTAGGTCAGCAGCCTCGCTCGTGCAGTTTTTGGGGTGCTTCGTTAATCAGTTTTCGAGGCGCCCGAATAAAATAGTTTCTGAGGCGCCTCAAACACCGCGTTATGTTTAGATCTGCAGGCTCAGTTCGCGCGCTTTGACCTCGAATCGGCTCGAGCCGCGGACGGTTCGTACTTGAGCCGTGATGGCTGGGAAATGCTTCGCCAGCGAGGACGAACGGGGGAGGGGGAAGGGAGGGGTGGGTGGGACGGCCCGCGGGGAGAGACGGGAATGATCGTTTGACCGGAGGGAGTGACGTCCCTGGTCCACCAGCCGAAGCAGCGAACGAGGTCCGGTAGCAGCAGGATTATCCGTCGTTATGCGGGAGACTCGGGGAGCGGGTGTCGGCGGCGCGTGGACAGGCGGATGCGGATGCGGAGGCGGGGGAGTTGGGGGGGTGGGGGAAGGGCGGGAAGAGGGGGTTGGGGGGTGTGGGGGGTTTGGGGGGTGTGGGGGGGATTGGGGGAAGTAGGGGTTTCTGCAGGTGCGCATCCCGTCTCTCCCGTTACAGGCATATATCCTGTCGCGTCTTCCCGTCACCACGGTCGCTCACGTTTTGAGGCGCCTCAAAACTAGGTTGCTCACGTACGGTACAACTCCTTCCCAACGTCGCTACGGGCCCTGACTTACTCGCAATTACCATTCAATCAATGCCCATCAATCAAACTAATCGCGTCCTTCCGTCACGCTGATGCTCCGTCAGTTTCTCCCCTCCGTCATTGACAGGTTTCCGTCTCTCACGGATTTCCGACACTCACGCATTTCTGTCCCTCACAGGTTTCCGTCAATCACGGAATTCCATCGGTGAAATTTGTGCAACATACAACAAAACATAAAACAGATGCGAGGTGAGAACCTAGGATAACTGTGGAATTGCCTTGTACCGTATTACAGGAAGCACCAATATACTGACGAATCCCTGTAGAACTTAAAGAGAGCAGGCAAAATAGTTTTTATCCCTTCAACAATCATTACAGCACTACAAACCCTATCTTGTGTTCATCACATGCAAAGCGGGATGGCACCCCACATTATCAAATCAAAAGCAGAGTGTATTGTACGCCTATTGGTTGCAGTACACTGCGTCCACGTCGTCCAATTCCAGCAGCTTCTCCATCAGAGCTTCGTTCTGCTCCCGAGCCTCCTCATCAGGCTGGGAAACAGGTTGGGAAAAGGAAACCAGAAGATGAAGGCAAAGAAAACGCTGATCCCGTCCATACACACCGTCGTCGCATTCTCCTACAACTGCACCTTGTGCTATGCCCCCATGCATGCACCTCGTTCCATGCCCCCATGCACCTCGTGCCATGCCCCCCCCCCTCATGCACCTCGTGCCATGCCCCCATGCATGCACCTCGTGCCACACCCCCATGCACACCCATGCACCTCGTGCCATGCCCCCCCCCCCCCATGCACACCCATGCACCTCGTGCCATGCCCCCCCCCCCCCCATGCACCCCCATGCACCTCGTGCCATGCCTACCCAGTCCTCCCTACCCTCCCAGACCACCCTACGCACCCCAGATCTACCTACATGGTGGCAGACCTACCTGCATGGTGGCAGATCGACCTGCATGGTGGCAGATCTACCTGCATGGTGGCAGATATACCTGTATCAGGCAAACCTACTCATACCATGCCCCCATATGCTAGATCTCCCTACCCATCACAGGTCTACCTGCATGGCAGCGGTGGGGATGAACATGAGTCCTGAGTGCCCTACCAAAGACCCCTCTACCCCAGAGCACCGTACCTAACCCAGACGTACGTACATGGTGGCGGTGGGAATGAACATGAGCCCTGAGTGCTCTGCATCCACTGTCAGCCCATACTCCTGCAGCTGCCCCCTGTGCCATGCGCCCATGCACCTTGCACCATCCCTACCACAGGCTACCCCACCCCACCCCACCCAACCCCAGAACCTTTTACCCCAGAACAACCCACCTATCCCATATCTACCTGCATGGCAGCGGTGGGGATGAACATGAGCCCTGAGTGCCCTACCAAAGACCCCTCTACCCCAGAGCACCGTACATACCACAGACGTACCTGCATGGTGGCGGTGGGAATGAACATGAGCCCTGAGTGCTCCGCGTCTACTGTCAGCCCATACTCCTGCAGCTCCCCCCTGTGCCATGCGCCCATGCACCTCATACCAACCCTACCCCAGGCTTCTATACTCCAGCCCACCCTACCAACCCCAGACATACCTGCATTCTAACAGGCCTACCTGCATGGTGGCGGTGGGGATGAACATGAGGCCTGAGTGCTCCGCATCCACTGTCAGCCCATACTCCTGCAGCTGCCATCCCCCACGCCATCCCCTATGCACCTTGTACCATTTTCTACCCAGCCAACTCTACCCTCCCACCCTACCCCAGCCCACCCTACCCCAGCCCACCCTACCCCAGCCCACCCTACCCCAGCCCACCCTACCCCAGCCCACCCTACCCCAGACCCACCTGCATGGTGGCTGTGGGGATGAACATGAGTCCTGAGTGCTCTGCGTCCACTGTCAGCCCATACTCCTGCAGCTGCGCTCGCACCGATGCGAAGGACTCGGCAGGAGTCAGCACCCGGAAGAACCTGAGGGATGTGAGGAGGAAAGAGGGGAGGTCAATTTGGAGGTAAGGGAAGAGATAATGATAATCTAATGGGAGGGGTCACACAGAGGGTTGCATCCAGCGTCAGCCTCTACTCCTGCAGATGTGTCCTGCAGCGTCCAGAGGGTTGCATCCAGCGTCAGCCTATACTCTCAGGAGTATGCTCTCAACTGTGTCCGCAAGGACGCGGAGGAATCTGCAGGTGTGAGCACTTGAAAGAATCTGAGGGATAGGGTGGAAGAAAGAGAGACGGAAGGGGAAAGTCCGTAGGGGGTGAAATGAGAAGTGCGAGAGTGAGAGAGAAAAAAGAAAAAGAGACCGAGGGCATTAGAAAAAGAAATGTAGTCACGTAAGAAAACTATTAAAACAAAAATCACAAAGAAATAAAGCACAACAGAAATCAAACTAGCCAAAATAAAAAAGGAAAACAAAATTAAAGAAAATGGCAAACAGACAACGGGAAATTCTGAAGCCATCTTTCTCCCACACCCCCCCCCCCCCCCCCCCTCCCCTTGGATGAAACAAGGAGCAGCGAATGGAAAGGAGAGGTTGTACACTAGCATCAGCCCTGCAT